TAAAGTAATAAAAAGGAATTTTCTAATAATATATATATATATATATACATATATATATATATATACACTCGTACTTCATTTATCTTGCAAAATGTGGTTAAAGTGAAAACTGTGCTGGGCAGAGACAACAGTGAGCAACATCTTCTGTGCAATAAATTTTTTAAATAAGAAAATATAAATAAACTGAAGTACTTCCTTCCATATAGTTGCAATCAGAGATCTGTCAAATTCAACCCTATCCAGTTGTTACTATAACAACCATCCCTGTTACAAGAACACAGTGAAGAGAAAATGATTATACTTTCATTCCCGTAGGAAAATTTAATATTCAAAAATAGAACATTTCACGATCAAAAGCTTGCAAATGATTACAACAGAACTTATTTGTAAATTAAAGTTTGTACTAGATAGATTAAACTGAAATCACAGCTGAGTGTTTCAGTACATATAGTTTTATGCACGGTTATTATAGTTATTTGGGCAAAAACTCATGAATTCTTTTCCATCCCAGCTGTTCACAGCACACAGGTCTACACAGTGCACACAGCCAGGGGCTTTACAGAGAATACTCTGAACACCGCAGTGAAATTGACTATACACTGTCACACAGTGACTCCAGAGGCAGAAATTGGACTGCTATGATCAGAAAGCATTTTTAAAAAGGGGACAGGTGCAAAGGAAAGACAATACACTAAACTTCAAACAATGGTTAGGTAGGAGTTGGTGTGGGGATGGGGGCGGGCAGGAGCAGGAATACTATCCATAGGGGAAAGCACAAAAATGCTACTTCTAGTATTATACTTCTAGTATAATAGGCTACTAATGTATTCACTTAGCTTTGACTTAATACTGTTTGGTTAGGAAGACCTTCAACAACAATTCTAGTTGACTGGCTCATATTGAGAAGTCATCTGTTCTTTTCAGCTATAATCAATCTGGTTAGCAATCAGAATAGCAGTAATCTAAGATCAAAGTTCATAGCCTGGTGGCCTTTAGACAAATCTGGTTGATCTAAGGAAACTTATACATGGGCATTCTGCTTAGGCTTTACAGATGAAAACAGACAAAGCCAAACAAGATTCTGGTGGCCTCAGGTAAGTCAAATCTAGAAATACAAGAGGAGGGCAGTGCCAGGAGTAAGTACCTGCTTTGTGTTGAGTTTCCTCCTGCTTCTTTGTTTACTTAAGAATAAACTTTGGATTTGTTGTTCCATTTACAGAGCATAGGCAGAGTAGATTTAGCATAATTCATAATGTCCCCTGGATTTTGAAATGGCAAATAAGATTTGTCTTCAACTTAAATTATCAGCTGGAATAACCTCTAACAGAAGAATCAGCCTGCCTTTGACTTCATCTATAAAAGCATATTCTTCTACTATAAGGGTCTTTTATCAACATTAAAAATCTGTTGTTAGGGCCCTCCTGGGTGACGCAGCAGGTTAAAGCACAGTACTGAGAAGCTAAAGCCACTTCAGCATGAGTTTGATCCCTACCCTGGAGGTGACCACATGGCGTGGCAGACCTCTCCTGACCCACCTGCTGCTCGCCTCAGCAGTGTACTTCATAGATCCACCTGTTCTGTTCCCCACTCTGTCTCTGGTGAATCCTGTCACTGCCCCTGCACCTTTGGCCTGTACCCCAGTTCTGTATGCATAATCTTTAAAAATATATATATATAATAGTTTATTTTTACATCATTTTGTGCCTTTTCCCAAAAGTTGTAATCCCCGTGGGCTTCCCATCACCAAATCACCCATGTGCCATCACCATAGTTCAGTGCACTTCCCTCCCCCCACCGTTTTTGTTCTGGTATATAGTTGTTCATTATTATTATTATAAATAAATAAATCTTTTTAAAAAATCAATGATCATAAATTTTCTGGATAACTTTCTGCTTCTATGTTAACATCTTCCATTT